AATTATTTTCCCATAGAACTCCATACAAACCTTAGGCCCTCTCAGTACTTTACTATGACAATTTCAGAAAAATCTTTAGCATCATTTCAAACTTTGTTCTAAGCCCTAACAAAAAGTACTGAAAAAAATATATGGTCCCATTGCGTTTATAGGTCAAAATTGCAGTTATTTTCAACTTATAGAGATCCGCAGTAAATAACACGCTGCATAAAAAATCAACCCCCACTCCTAAGATCTTCCCTGGTAATTCTATAGTTTCTGTAATATTCCCTCATCCCATCATTTATTTCAAAGGTCATTAATTTTACTTTAAAATGAAAACAATTTTCAGTGTATTGGATACTGTGACCATCTCAAAAGATTACACCTTACTGCTACCAGCACAGTTAAAAGGAGTGAATGACGTTTGGGCCAGTGATGATATTTTGATATTATGGGGACTGTAATAAATAAAATATTTGTACAATGAATTGTTTTTGTTTTTTGATGTTAATAAAGTGATATTAAGTCAAAATTGAGTCAATATTTTCATAAGGGTGGATTCTACCCAGAATTTGGTAAAAAGCTCCAAAATTTTAAAAATCATAGTTAATTAAGCAAATTTCAAAGGTTTTAAAAAGACTGATATAGAAATCTTTTATACTTATGCAAAGTAAATTATTTAAGACTCTGATATACTAATTGATTCTTATCTAATCCCTCCTACTGCTTAAGTATGTACAAAAAAGTTTCCCCACCCCCTAGTGAAAAACACTTAGAGAAATAGCAGGTGCCCCTTTTATTTTTGTTTACAATTAATTTAGACAAGAGTAAATCAATCTTTTTGATAACAAATCAAAGTTCAGTATCTGTAGTCTTATACATTACAATAATAAGCTACATTATTGAATTTCATGCTTAGAAAAGGAGAATTTAAATAATTTTTTTTAAAAATAAAGAAAAGCAAAACTGACTTCAAACCCCAAAATGTGCTACACAATAAGAGGCTGGAAATTTAATAAATGAAAAATTTACCTGCAATGTACAGAAAACTGTCCGACAAAATACATCGGGTGGGTAGCGAGTCTCCTTCTTCTTCTTATATCGAGAAAATGCCCCCGCTGATCAGAGACCGAGCACTCCCTGGGCCAAGGAAGCTGAAAGGTGAAAGTCCTCTACAGTGTTTAAATGAAAATTTATCAATAAAATTTGTCAAATTAAGCATAAATCATGAAAGAAACAACAATATTTTTCAAGTTTCCTAAAAATTCCTTAATCACATATCTTCTACATAGCTAAATGTATAAAAAATGGATCCGCCAAGGGTGGAATACATGTTTTTTCAATATTACATAATATTACATGTAAATATAATAAAGGTCAAATGTGATACATGCAGTTCAAGGTCATTCCAATAATTAATGAAAAAAAATCAGAAGCCAAAGGTCACAATAGTTAAGATATCATCATGTTGAAATTCTACATGTCTGGTTAGCAGGTCTAAGGGAAGTAACTCTAAGTACAAAAACTAGAAACCATTAGAAAGTGAGTCGCAGCGAGTCATTCTGATGAAACTACAAAGAGCGAGAAAAGGGAAAACATAGACCTTTGTGTAGCTACAACATAGAGACAACAAAACTACAAATTGATCACCCTACAGCAAGGAAAGGGGGGGGGAATCCAGAGGAACACATACATTACCAAACAGGAGATGACAAGACAGAAAATGTCCTCCTTTCACTTGTCCATCACAAAAATTCCTTTTAAATGCCACCTTAATTATTCGAAAAGATGCCAAAAAGTGCAAAAGTCTAAAAACTAAATAACCAGAAGTCTCTGTCGAGACTGTAGCTCCACTGGTATGTACTTATCAAAACCATTGCACTATTTCATGTATCTTTGTGTAGTCTACTTGTGTGCCAACTTATTTTGAAATCAAACGAGAACTGTAGAAAGAGTAGCGTTTTTAAGGAATTTCACAGAAAATTCTATTTTTAGTAACCATGGTAACACCGTTCATCGAAATCAGAAACCGATGCACTATTCTATGTATCTTAGGGTAGTCTACTTGTGTGCCAAGTTATACTGAAATCAGACCAAAACTGTAGAAGGAGTAGCGTTTTTAAAGAATTTCACAGAAAATTCTATTTTTAGTAACCATGGCAATATCTTTCATCGAAATTAAAAACCGATGCACTATTCTATATATCTTAGTGTAGTCTACTTGGGTGCCAAGTTATAAAGAAATCAAACTAGAACTGTGGAAGGAGTAGCGTTTTTAAGGAATTTCACAGAAAATTCTATTTATAGTAACCATGGCAACACCGTTCATTAAATTAAAAACCGATGCACTATTCTATGTATCTTAGTGTAGCCTACTTGTGTGCCAAGTTATATTGAAATCAGACCAAAACTGCAGAAAGAGTAGCGTTTTAAAGGAATTTCACAGAAAATTCTATTTTTAGTAACCATGGTAACACCGTTCATCGAAATCAGAAACCGATGCACTATTCTATGTATCTTAGGGTAGTCTACTTGTGTGCCAAGTTATACTGAAATCAACCAAAACTGTAGAAGGAGTAGCGTTTTTAAAGAATTTCACAGAAAATTCTATTTTTAGTAACCATGGCAATATCTTTCATCGAAATTAAAAACCGATGCACTATTCTATGTATCTTAGTGTAGTCTACTTGTGTGCCAAGTTATATTGAAATCAAACTAGAACTGTGGAAGGTGTAGCGTTTTTAAGGAATTTCACAGAAAATTCTATTCATAGTAACCATGGCAACACCGTTCATTAAATTAAAAACCGATGCACTATTCTATGTATCTTAGTGTAGTCTACTTGTGTGCCAAGTTATATTGAAATCAGACCAAAACTGCAGAAGGAGTAGCGTTTTAAAGGAATTTCACAGAAAATTCTATTTTTAGTAACCATGGCAACACCGTTCATCGAAATCAAAAACCGATGCACAATTCTATGTATCTTAGTGTAGTCTACTAGTGTGCCAAGTTATATTGAAATCAGACCAAAACTGTGAAAGGAGTAGCGTTTTAAAGGAATTTCAAGAAAATTCTATTTTTAGTAACCACGGCAACACCGTTCATCGAAATCAAAAACCGATGCACTATTCTATGTATCTTAGTGTAGTCTACTTGTGTGCCAAGTTATATTGAAATCAGACTAAAATTGTAGGAGGAGTAGCGTTTTGAAAAATTGTTTACAGACAGACGGACAGACAGACAGACAGACGGACGGACGCCGGACGCATTACTATCGCATAAGCTCTTCTGGTCTCTGACCAGTAGAGCTAAAAATGAACACCAGGTCACTGTCCTACACTCCCATAATATACACAGATAGAGCAAAACATAATAAATACACAGTCACATGTACACGCAAAATACATACATAACTCTATGCATACATACAATCATTCATTTTAAGAGCAATCTGATACATTTTCTTAACTTACCTTCCTCCTTTGGCCATGTCAACTGTACAGGTCTTTACCAATTTCTATCTTCTCTTACCCCCCCCCCCCCCCTCCTCTCTTCAATGACCCCAAATCACCACTGACCCCATTACCGCAGAAAACTAAATCAAATATTTGCTAAATTTTCTCTCGAAATGTCATCAATATTCAAATAAATAGCCAAAAATAACTTTTCATGACTTTCAGTTCACTTTACATATTAAAAAATTGGGTCTCTATAGGGAAAAGAGTACCAATTAATTTCCCATAGAACTCCATACAAACCTTTGGCCCTCTCAGTACTTTACTATGACAATTTCAGAAAAATCCTTAGCATCATTTCAAACTTCGTTCTAAGCCCTAACAAAAAATACTGAAAAAAATATATGGTCCCATGGCATTTATAGGTCATAATTGCAGTAATTTTCAACTTATAGAGATCCGCAGTAAATAACACGCTGCATAAAAAATCAACCCCCCACTCCTAAAATCTTTGGTAACTCTATAGTTTCTGTAATACATCCCATCATTTATTTCAAAGGTCATTAATTTTACTTTAAAATGAAAACAATTAAATACCTGATTTCAGCCAATGGCGTAACGCCTACCCATTCAGTATTCTATTTAATGTTCCATCACAAACAAAGTCATGTGTTCATTGTAAAAATTGGGGTCTCTATACTTACATACTTACCTGTCCCAGAATTAGTCAATTGTGGTAATTTCAAAGACTATACACCTACCTGTGAACATGTATGAAATTTGAGTCCTGTGACTTCAGAGTATTGGATACTGTGACCATCTCAAATGATGACACCTTACTGCTACTAGCACAGTTCTAAGGAGTGAATGACGTCTGGGCCGGTGATGATATTTGGATATATTGGTGACTGTAATAAATAAAATATTTTTTTCAATGAATTGTTTTTGTTTTTTGATGTTAATAAAGTGATATTAAGTCAAAATTGAGTCAATATTTTCATAAGGGTGGATTCTACCCAGAATTAGGTAAAAAGCTCCAAAATTTGATAAATCATACTTAATTAAGCAGAATTCAAAGGTTTTAAAAAGACTGATATAGAATTTTTTTATGCTTATGCAAAGTAAATTATTTAAGACTCTGATAGACTAATTGATTCTTATCTAATCCCTCCTATTGCTTAAATATGTACAAAAAAGTTTCCCCACCCCCCAGTGAAAAACAATTAAAGAAATAGCAGGTACCCCCTTTTATTTTTGTTTACAATTAATTTAAACAAGAGTAAAGCAATCCTTTTGATAACAAATCAAAGTTCAATATCTGTAGTCTTATACATTACAATCATAAGCTACATTTTTGAATTTCATGCTTAGAAAAGTAGAATTTAAATAATTTTTTTTAAAAATTAAAGGAAAACAAAAACTGACTTCAAACACCAAAATGTACTAAACAATAAGAGGCTGGAAATTAAATAAATGAAAAATTTACCTGCAATGTACAGAAAACTGTCCGACAAAATACATCGGGTGGGTAGGGAGTCTCCATCTTCTTCTTATATAGAGAAAATGCCCCCGCTGATCAGAGACCGAGCACTCCCGGGGCCAAGAAAGCTGAAAGGTTAAAGTCCTCTAAAGTGCTTAAATAAAAATAAATCAATAAAATTAGTCAAATTAAGCATAAATCCTGAAAGAAACAACAATATTTTTCAAGTTTTCTAAAAATTTCCTTAATTACATGTCTTCTACATATCTAAATGTATGAAAAATGGATCCGCCAAGGGTGCAATACATGTTTTTCAATATTACGTTATTACATGTAAATATAATAAAGGTCAAATGTCATACATGCAGTCCAAGGTCATTACAATAATTTATGAAAAAAAATCAGAAGCCAAAGGTCACAACAGTTAAGATATCATCATGTTGAAATTCTACCTGTCTGGTCAGCAGGTCTAAGGGAAGTAACTCTAAGTGCAAAAACTAGAAACCATTAGAAAGTGAGTCGCAGCGAGTAATTCTGATGAAACTACAAAGAGCGAAGAAAGAGAAAACATAGACCTTTGTGTAGCTACAACATAGAAACAACAAAACTACAAATTGATCACCCTGCATCCAAGAAAGGGGGGAGGGCAATCCAGAGGAACACATACACTACCAAACATGAGATGACAAGACAGAAAATGTCCTCCTTTCACTTGTCCATCACAAAAATTCCTTTTATGTGCCACCTTAATTATTTGAAAAAATGCCAAAAGTGCAAAAGTCTAAGAAACTAAAAAAAATTGAACACCAGGTCACTGTCCTACACTTCCATAATATACACAGATAGAGCAAAACATAATAAATACACAGTCACATGTACATGCAAAATACATACATAAATCTATGCATACATACAATCATTCATCTTAAGAACAATCTAATACATTTTCTTAACTTACCTTCCTCCTTTGACCATGTCAACTGTACATGGCTTTACTAATTTCTATCTTCTCTTACCCCCCCCCCCCCCTCCTCCTCTCTTCAATAGACCCAAATCACCACTAATCCAATTACAGCAGTAAACTAATTCAAATTTTTGCTAAATTTTCTCTCGAAATGTCATCAATCTTCAAATAATTAGCTAAAAATAACATTTCATGACTTTCAAATCACTTTGTATCTGCGTAAGAATCTTTAGAAAACTGGAAACAAAGCCTCGTCCTATATAGTAAGTTCGTCCTATCTTAGGATTTTTCAAAAAATAAGGCTGAAAATGAGCCTTTCGACCTATATACCCCATCGACCTATTATCCAAAAATTACGGGTAATTCGATTTTTTTCTATGATTCATTTGTGTATTGTTCCATATTGTGCTTTGTTTAGGATTTTACTTTTGCAAATATCCATACACTGCAGATATGTATTTTTTCCTCTACATCTCACTATTCTACAATTGAATGGTGGTGCAATTTTAAGTTAAAAGTCAAAATGGCGATTCAAAATGGCGGATATTCATTTTTTCCAAATTATTTCTTGATGTCGTTCATTTGTGCTTATTGAGCGTAGTACAACTATGTAAAATGACAATAGAACACTAATATTATCACTTTAAATCGGAAAATTTAGTCGTTTAAATTTGAAATGTGTTAATTAGCTCAAAATGGCAATTCAAAATGACGTCATATACACTCGAATTTCGTAATATACCCAAACTGCTTAATTCTGAGTCGTTTTAAGAAAAAAAATTACACTTTGTTTTTTATATTTAGTATATATAGCATATTGATTAGTCCATTAAATATGAACAAACAAAAAATACTAAAAAATTTCATTTTTTTCTGGAAATAGTTAAAACAAAGTCGACTAAAGACTTTCCAAATTTTCCCCTCGTGTTATTCAAAGCCTTTGAACCCCCGTCTACCTAAAATCACCCCCTGAATCGCTGTCATTATCAATTTGCACTTCCACTTCAACATCCCTCAGCACACCATCAAATAAAACTGAAGAAATTCTTGTCCGATTTCATCGAACACTTTGTTTTAGCTTATAAAAAGCTTAGTATTATCCCCTAGCATCTTCTATTTGAACTTTATTTGCTATATGTTTTAGTCTGTCTTCGAAATTTTGGTATTTTCACCACTCAAGTAAAATTGTGCCCCGTGTCACATTTATGTTCAAATGTTAAAAGTACTAGTATATATTTTTTTTTTTATAATTTATTGTATTTTTGAAAACATTTTTTACAAAAAGACAAACATTGAGAGAGAGAGAGAGAGAGAGAGATAAAGAGGGGATAGAGAGAGAGGACAGACAGAGAGAGAAAGAGGGAGAGAGAGAGAGAGAGATATGATTAAGAAAATAAATCAGTTAATGGTCTCCAGCTTTCATCAAAAGATTCTTTTTCATTATTTTTATAAGATATATATTTTTGTAAATCATACATTGTCTTAATAGAGGATATCAAACCACCTAAGGAGATGTTTCTGTTTGTATATTTGTACAGATAGATATAATGTTTTATTTGTAAGGCAATAATATTTTTAAGTTTATCAGTTTTCTTCACAGAGCCCAATAAAAATTCTTTTTTTGAAAAGGTTATAGAAGTGTGGATTTTATTGAAACAGTAGTTTGCAAAATTCTCTAAAAGAGACTGAACATGTCCACATTCCCATAACAAATGTTCTATTGTTTCAGTTTCTTTTTTACAGAAGGTACATATTTTATCATCAATTTTATTAATTTTGTGTAGGAAGGAATTTGTCGCTAGTATTTTATGGTTTATTCTAAATTGGAACCACTGAAGTTTGGTGTTTTTTGTAATTTTGAATGGAAGTAAATAAATTTTCTCCCATTCATCATTGCTCAAATCAAATATTCTATTCCAAGAGATTTTTCCCAATGGTTCAATATTTTGTCGAATAAGTATTTCATATAAATCATGTGATTTCTTTGCTTTCAGCAGCGAATAAATATTATCTGGGATATATGGGTAAGGTATCTTTGATAAGTTATTTTGATCTCTGTTAATCTTTCTTAGCCATTCTAATATAGCTGCCTTAATGCCACTATATTCAAGAAAATGTGTTTTTATCCCGTATTTCATATGTAGATCATTCAAACTCATAAATGTCCCATCTTCATTGAGTATGTCATTTACACATAAAATGTTACAAGAGAACCATTTTTTATAGAAGAATGGCTTTTTATTAATGATTAATTTTTTATTATGGAATAATGGTTCTAAAGAAGTAAGTGTATCATTTTGTAATGATTTGTCACAAAAGCTTAGCCCTGCGTGTAACACGTCCTTCCAAAAATTATTTTTTAAATTATTGATTTTTTTGACAACATACTCTTGCCCACAACATACAATTTTTTTAATGTCAATATCTAAAAAGGAATCTAACCCATTGTCCAGCAGTAATAATTTTTTCATCCAAACTAGTTTTAAGGACATAATGAACTCTCTTATACTAATCATCTTAAAGCCCCCTTCTTTGTAATTTTAGTCTTGAAATATTAGTTCCCATTACAAAAGTATAAAATAGATTTTCCAATTCTTTCATTTGAATTTCAGAGGGACTTGGGAGAGATGCAAAAACATGATTTAAGGTTGGCAATAAAAGAGTTTTTAGAACCGTTAGACGACCAAGAGGGGTTAAATTTCTCTTGTTCCAGTGTTGCATTAATTTTTTTATATTACTAATTTTTGATGCATAATTAAGCATAAATATATTTTTTAGATCTGTGTCAAAATCAATGCCTAATAGTTTAAAAGTTACTTTTCCCCACTCTAACATATGATCTGTACTTAAGGTATCGATGCTGCCTTTCTTGGACCCAATCCAGACTACTTGAGTTTTACTGTAATTCATATGCAGGCCTGACATATTCGCAAATCTTTTAAGAGTAGTGAGACTTGTTTGGAGTGATCTTTCACTTCCATCTAATATTAAAGATGTATCATCTGCCAACATGCTTAACTTTTTTTCAGTATTCATAAACCGAATCCCCTTTATATTCTTATTGTTTCGAATGCTGATTGCAAGGATCTCTGCACAAATGAAAAATAGATATGGAGACAAGGGGTCTCCTTGACGACAGCCTCTGTGTAGGTTAAAAGATTGTGATAAATTTCCTCCTTGATTAATAGAAGCTGTAATATTTGTGTAAAAAATATCAACCCATTTTCTAATAGAATTGCTAAAATTAAAAAATTTGAGGGATTTCTGTATAATAGACCAAGACAAGGAATCAAAAGCTTTTTCAAAGTCCACCAGGAGCAAAAGTCCTGGTATACTTTCTTCTTCTGTAAATTGCATGATATCATATATAAGTCTTATATTTTCAGAAATATTTCTTCCTTGTATAAAACCAGTTTGATCCGGATGAATAATTTTATCAAGATATTTTTTCATTCTATTAGCAATTGAGCCTGATGCAATTTTATAAACAGTATTAAGTAGCGAAATAGGTCTCCAGTTTTTTAGATATTGTCTGGGTTTATCAGCTTTTGGTATACAGGTTATTATACCATGTCTTTGAGTAATACTTAGCATTTTATTTTCATAGGCATAATTAATGGACCTTACTACAAAAATACCAATGGACTTCCAAAATACCTTAAAAAACTCTGATGTAAATCCATCTGAACCTGGCGATTTATTTGATTTCATATTGCGGAGTGTTTCTGAAGCTTCTTTTAATGTTATCTTACCTTCTGTCTCCAAGGACTCTATTTTTGAAAGTTTAGCAATGTTTGGAAAATTTAATTCATCATCAAGATCATTGATATCGTTTATAGAATTGTCAATGTCTCTGTATAAGTATTCATAGTATTTCTTAGCTTCATTCAAAATCTCGGCCTGCTTATAAATTATGTTACCATTTTCTGTTTCTATTTTTGGAATGATCTTGCTTGTGAAATTTCTATTCTCTAAGTTACAAAAATATTGTGACGGTTTTTCCCCCTCTTCTACCCATCTTGCCCTAAATCTTATTAAAACACCCCTCATCTTTTGTTTTCTTATATCTTCTAATTCTTATTTTTTTCCTCTAAAAGTTCAACATTGTCAGCAATAGTATGTATTGTTTCCTCAAGATATTTTATTTCTTCTACAAGTTTTTCTTCTTTTTTGTTTGTTAGTTTCT